ATTGCAACATCTTTCCATAAGAATAATAAATCATCAACATAAAACAAACAGTACAGTTTCTTTTGCCCCTCCTCTTTGACAAATACACATGGATCAGCTTTCCCTTGCTGAAAACCTAGAGAAAACAATACTTCAGTGAGTTTTGTGTGCCAACACTGTGCACTTTGTTTGAGACCATAAAGGGATTTCTTCAGAGCACAAACAAATCCCTGTTTTACCTGTACGCCATCAGGTGGAAGCATATAAAGTGATTCATCTAGAGATCCGTACAGAAAAGCTGTATTAATATCATGGTGACTAATGTGTAGATTTTCCTCTGCAGCTAGCTTAAGCATAAGCCTAATGCTTTCATATCTCACTGTGGGTGAATAGGTCTCGTGATAGTCTTCACCTGGTACCTGTGCAAAACCTCTGGCTACCAATCTGGCTTTGTGTCTGACTATCTTGCCATTTTGATCTGTCTTCGCTTTGAAGACCCATTTGCTTCCAAGCAGTTTCATTCCTGGAACTACTGGAACTAGCTCCCATGTTTTGTTCCTTTCCAAGGAATCAAGCTCAGCCTTCATGGCATTTAACCATGGCTCAGCTTCCTTTGAATCCAAACCCTGGATTTCTTGGAAACTTGAAGGTTCAAATACCTTCTTGGAGCTTTTAACAGCTGTTACTGCTATCTTAGCAAACTCATCAGCAAATCTCTTTGGAGGTTTGCCTTTTGTGGCTCTCTGTGACCTACGAATTATCCTTAAGTCTTCAACACTCTCCTCTTCCTTCTTAGGAGAAAAACGACCTATTGTGAACAATGGTTCCTCCAATTCTTGATCAGAGCTTTCAGAGGGTCGCATAGAGGCTTTCGCACTCTTGAAATCCTCTGAATCACCCGATTCAGTTTCAGATTCAGACTCAGAACCTTCATCAGTGGGTGTGGGTTGTTGTGGTTGCTTTGACTATCCTCAGTCTCATCACCGTCATCAGGATAACATTGGAAAATTCCCACATTCTCCCCCACTTTGCATTGTACTCAACACTTCTCGTGAGCTTAATTGTCTTAGAGTCAGTCATCATTATTCTGTAAGACCCTTTCTGATAACCTAGAAAGATACCATGCAATCCACGCTTGTCTAACTTGGAGTTTTGTGGTGAGCGAACCCACATGTCAGAACCAAAAATCTTCATGTGTTTGATGTATGGCTTCTTGCCAAACATCTTCTCATGGGGGGTACAACCTATCGCTGAAGATAACCTGCGATTGTAACTGTAAACAAAACACGAGAGAGATTCGGCCCAATAACTCTCTGGAAGATTGGCATCATGCAGCAAGGTCTTTAACCCTTGAAGCAAAGTCTGATTTGCCCGTTCCGCAAGTCCATTCTGCCATGGCGAGCGAGGACTAGACAAATCGTGTTGAATTCCTTTCTCAGTCAGAAAAGCTTCAAACTGCTGAGAAGTGAATTCCCCCCCGCGATCACTGAAAAGAGTCTTTATCTTCTTACCATGCACATTTTCCAACCAAGCACAGAATTCCTTGAACCTAGGAAAAGCCTCCGATTTCTGCTTGAGATTGTACACAAAAATATATCTAGAAAATGCATCAATGAGAACCATGAAGTATCTATTTCCACCCAAAGAGGGCGTTAGTGGTCCAACCAAATCAGCATGAACAACCTGGTATGGTTCTGTAGCTTTCCTACTAGACACCTTACCTTTCGCAGCCATTTTCACCTTGTTTGCTGCGCATGCTTTGCACTTCATGTGGTACCTGCAGGGTTTAATAGTCATACCTTCAACTAAGGCAGGCATTTTAGATACTGCCTCAAAATGCAAATGACCAAATTTGCGATGAAAATCGTGAATACATTCTGCATGCAAACTTTTGTTAGAACCTGCAATGCAACAAGTGTCATCCTGCACCACATCATCATAATACAAAACAAACAAATGATCAACATATTCTGCATGCAATACATAATCATTTTTCTTTGTGATGATGCACTTCTTGTTCTTGAAGGAAACGTCAATGTTCCGCTCATTCAGCTGTCCAACGCTGAGCAGATTATGTTTGGCGTCTGGCACGTAAAGCACATTCTGTATCGATAAGTCCAAACTGTGAAGAACAACAGTTCCGTAGCCTTTACTGGGAATAGTGTGGTCATCCGCCTGGTGAATCGCACCTTCCTGCGGTGTAAAAGACACAAACAGTTTCTTATCGTTGCACATGTGGTGGGTGGCCGCTGAATCAACAACGAAGAAAGATCTAGACGTCTTCTGGACCTCTGCAACCTTTGGAGTGAAGCGTGAAACCATAGCCTTGTGCTGCGTTGTCCTAGACACCGGACCTTTGCCTTTGCCTCGGCCTTTTCCGCGCGATGAGCTTTCGCTGCGCTGCTCTGTCTTGGCCCTGGGATGTCTGCATTCCCTCTTCATATGGCCTAGACGTCCACACGAGTAGCATTTCACTGCCTTCAAAGCTTTGGCGCCATCTGGTGGTTCCACTGCACTATGGGATGACGTCTGTGAAGACTCTCCCTTGCCCATGCAGCTAGCACCCGGCGATCTGCTTCATTTAAAATCACGGCAGTAACAAAGTCCACTGTCAGCTGAGCAGTTGGTTGCACAGCAATCTGGGTTGCAACAGACTCCCAACCTGAACCCAAAGATTGTAGTATCATGAAAGAATACACAGCCTCTGGAAAGTTGAGTCCTCTCTGTTGCAGCTCATGTCTCAGATTTTGCATCTGCATCAGATGTAAACGCACATCTCCACCTTCAGCAAGAGCCATATTATGCAGCTTGTTAAAATAAAACATAGTTGATCCAGCTTCTGTCCTTAAGTGAGCCTCTCTCAGAGCGTCCCAAATTTCTCTGGCTGAGGTCTTATCACGCAATAGACAGAGCTCTTCTGGGGATACTATCAATGTAAGAGTTCCCCTTGCTTTGGAATCCTTAGCTTCCCATGCATCTGTAACTGGAACTGGGGGGGTTTCTGTAATCACCTCAAACAAACCCTCTTTCCGCAGAATTGCCTCTGCATACTGAACCCAGTCGCTGTAATTATTCTTGTTGAGCTTAGGAATCCCACAAGCATCCTGAAGGGCCATCATGACTCTGGCATTAGCCTTCAGCGTCATATGCTGCTTTAAATCTTGCTGCGTCACTGCTGCAGCTGCCTCATTACAAAGGCACACTTAAAAGTTACTTTCGATTTCCCCAGCATAGTGACTTGTGCCTGGGAGCCTTTTGCCTATTCCCGGCAAAACCGGCTTTAAAAGTTCAAAGTCCAGCCATAAAGCCATTATCTTGAAGCTGGCAGGCTGCCCGGAGCAGTAGCACATACCTCATCAATCACTTCTACGCGCAGAGCAGATTCCTTTCCGATCCGTCCCTCTGCATTCCGATCTGCCGGCACTCCGATTCGACCTCTGGGCCCATAACCACGTGTTGATTTAAGCAGAGTCTGGTTGCCAGCGGAAGGATGAGGAAAATGTGATACATACTCTATATTGCTTTATTTACAGTTCAAAGCTGGTATATTACAGAAAGACATCTTGCCTCTGCAAGAGCAGAGAAAATGCATCCTCTCTCCTCAACAGCTTGGAGAGAATTACACAGTGAAACACAGGAAACCAGTGTACGTCACATCCAGTCTCCCTTTCCCGTGAGAAACTCCAACAGTACAGACAGTACAGACTGTGGAATGTAAACACCTGTCTCGTGACAGCAGAGCTGCACAGTGAAGGAAAGCAGAAACTAACACTCCCATTGCTCGGTCCCTGCTCCTGCCAACCTAGCAGTTGATCAAAGTGCAAGTAGATACCGTATTTTTTGCTCTATAAGACTCACTTTTTCCCTCCTAAAAAGTAAGGGAAATGTGTGTGCGTCTTATGGAGTGAATGCAGGCTGTGCAGCTATCCCAGAAGCCAGAACAGCAAGAGGGATTGCTGCTTTCACTGCGTGGCGATCCCTCTTGCTGTTCTGGCTCCTGAGATTCAGAATATTATTTTTCTTGTTTTCCTCCTCCAAAAACTAGGTGCGTCTTGTGGTCTGGTGCGTCTTATAGAGCGAAAAATACGGTAAATAGGTACAGCGGTACCCCGGGATGCGAACGGGATCTGTTCCGGAGTCCCGTTTGCATCCCGAATGGAATGCAAGACGTGACAGCGCATCTGCGCATGCGTGGGTCGCGTTCGCCGCTTCTGCGCATGCGCGTGACGTCATTTTGAGCGTCTGCGCATGTGTGGCGGCGAGCCCAGAAGTAACGCGCTCCGTTACTACCAGGTTGCCGCAGAGCGCAACATGAACGTGCTCAACCCAAAGCACATTCAACTCGAGGTATGACTGTACCGCTCCGGTGAGAAGGTAAACGGCGTTTCCGTGCACTGCTCTGGTTCACCAGAAGCGGCTTAGTCATGCTGGCCACATGACCCGGAAGCTGTACGCTGGCTCCCTTGGCCAATAAAGCGAGATGAGCGCCGCAACCCCAGAGTCAGCCACAACTGGACCTAATGGTCAGGGGTCTCTTTACCTTTACCTTTACCTGCAGATACCAAGAATTGGGCCTGGATCCTTCTGCATTCAAAACAGTTGCTCCTGTCACTGAGCCACAGCCTTCCCGGCATGCTTGCAAACTCTGCAGGACAGCCAGGAGACCGGGAGGTGGCTGGCAACTAGTTCCCATGGCACCTATGGATGGAATCTGCCACTTGGTGCCTCGGTGCCTTGCCCTGGACCAATCAGCTGCCCTGCGGAGGAATGGGCACAGGGTACCAGCGAGAGGTGCGCTGTTGCTAGGACCAAGCGCTTGGCTTCGCTGAGGCACCTTGGCAACAAGCCACACCTTCCCTCTCTCCCGACAACAGGCGTATCCTGGCAACAGGGAAGCTGGCACTCTCTCCTCGCCAGCTCCCCCTCCGCAGCATCAGCATCCCAGCAACAGAGCATCTTGGCCGCCGCCGTTTCCTAGCAACGGAAGGCAGACTCCAAAGCCCGCTGTTGCTGGCCCAGTGATGCAGACAGTGTCTGGATTGGACAAACGCTCTGGAAGTCTTCCATTCACCCTGGGATCAGGATCGATTGAAAGCAACCCAGAAACTGCGGAGGGAAACAGGTGTGCATGCAAGCAGTTGTGCGAGGGTGCTGGTGGTCATCTTTCCCCAACCTGGTCCCTTCTAGATCAGGGGTCAGTAAACTTTTTCAGCAGGGGGCCGGTCCACTGTCCCTCAGACCTTGTGGGGGCCTGGACTATAATGGGGGGGGGGGGGTATGAACAGATTCCTATGCCCCACAAATAACCCAGAGATGCCTTCTTAAATAAAAGGACACATTCTACTCATGTAAAAACGCGTTGATTCCCAGACCGTCTGTGGGCCGGATTTAGAAGGCAATTGGGCTGGATCTGGCCCCCGGGCCTTAGTTTGCCTACCCATGTTCTAGATGTTGCTTGACTCCCATGACCCCCAGCCAGCAGGACCATTGATCAGGGATGATGGGCGTTGCAGGGGGTAAAAACATCTGGAGGGCAGCAGGTCTGCAAAAAATATGCTTTAGCATATTTCCCAAATGGTGCAATCTGGAAACAAGGAATGTTGGAAGATTTGAGATAGATAAGAGATAGCACTTCTTAATGCAGTGCACAAGGAGAAGGGGACGACAGAGGACGAGATGGTTGGACAGTGTTCTCGAAGCTACAAACATGAGTCTGACCAAACTGCGGGAGGCAGTGGAAGACAGGAGTGCCTGGCGTGCTCTGGTCCAGGGTCACAAAGAGTCGGACACGACTAAACGACTAAACAACAACAACAATAATGCAGTGCATAGTTGAACTATGGAACTCATTGCCACAGGAGGCAGGGATGGCCAGCAAATTAGGCGGCTTTCAAATATGGCTGGACAAATTTGTGGAATGTAAATCCATCAATAGCTACCACCCAAAGTGGCTGTGTTCTGCCTCTCCATCTGCAGGCAGTCAGGCTTCCAGACCATCCAAGTGGGGTCTGGAACAGCCCCGGATTTACAGAAGATGCCCTAGTTTCTGATTTTACTCTGGAATGTCCCGCTTTTCCATAGGACATCCCTACTTTCATCAGAGACATTTTGGAGGGTATGGAGTTAAGCGACCTCCGAGCCAAGGAGATAAGTAACTCTACAACATGGGTAGGAAAACTAAGGCCTGGGGGCCGGATCCGGCCCAATCGCCTTCTCAATCTGGCCGGCAGATGGTCCGGGAATCAGCGTGTTTTTTCATGAGTAGAATGTGCCCTTTTATTTAAAATGCATCTCTGGGTTATTTGTGGAGCACAGAAATTCGTTCATTATTATTTTATCAAAATATAGTCCGGCCCCCCACAAGGTCTGAGGGACAGTGGACTGGCCCCCTGCTGAAAAGGTTTGCTGACCCCTGCTCTACAACCTTTAGAAGACAAATGAAGGCATCAATGTACAGAGATGTTTTTTAATGTTCTATCATTATATGTTGGAAGCCACCCAGAGTGGCTGGGGCAACCCAATCAGATGAGCAGGGTATTCCTATTATTATGGAATAGAATGTCCCTATTTTCATCGGAGAAATGTTGGCGAGTATGTGCTTCTGAGCACCAGCCACTGGGAACCCGAGGAAGGCACAGGGCTCTTGTGTTCAAATCCTGCTTGCTGGTTCCCCATTAGGGCATCTGCCTGGCCAATGTGAGAACAGGATGCTGGACCGGATGGTCTGATCCAGCAGCCTCTTCTCCCATTGCTATTGTCAAGCAGAGGTAAACATGGCAAGTATCTCTCTGCAGCCTTTAGAAGGCAGCTAGATTTCCAGAGATAGGCAGGATGAGGAGCATATTAAGGGCACTTCTCCCTCCTCTGCTGTTGTTGTTGTGTAGTCGTGTCCGACTCTTCATGACCCCCTGGACCAGAGCACGCCAGGCACTCCTGTCTTCCACTGCCTCCCGCAGTTTGGTCAAACTCATGCTGGTAGCTTCGAGAACACTGTCCCACCATCTCGTCCTCTGTCGTCCCCTTCTCCTTGTGCCCTCCATCTTTCCCAACATCAGGGTCTTTTCCAGGAGTCTTCTCTTCTCATGAGGTGGCCAAAGTCTTGGAGCCTCAGCTTCAGGATCTGTCCTTCCAGTGAGCACTCAGGGCTGATTTCCTTCAGAATGGAGAGGTTTGATCTTCTTGCAGTCCATGGTACTCTCAAGAGTCTCCTCCAGCACCATAATTCAAAAGCATCAATTCTTCGGCGATCAGCCTTCTTCATGGTCCAGCTCTCACTTCCATACATCACTACTGGGAAAACCATAGCTTTAACTATACGGACCTTTGTTGGCAAGGTGATGTCTCTGCTTTTTAAGACGCTGTCTAGGTTTGTCATTGCTTTTCTCCCAAGAAGCAGGCGTCTTTTAATTTCGCCTCCCTCCTCTAGAAGGTCATAAGTTTGCCTGCCTGCCTTTGACACACATAAACAAGGCCAGAGCAGACTCTTCTCCCCTCGCAAGCCAGCAGCTCCCAGGCAGGGTGGGTGTGGCACCCACTTCAATTGTCAGGGTGGATTAAGTGTCAGGAAAGGAAGGCAGGGAACCAGAGCGTATCCCAGATGAAAGACGCGAAGGCAGCGCATCAACGCAACACTCTTCCAGGGCAGGAGATGGGTTGTCTCAGGGATATGGCTTTCCCACCCATCACCCTTGTTTTCCGGAGAGAAGCTGCCAGTCAGTGTAATAATAATAATAATAATAATAGTAGTAATAATAATAATAATAATAATAATAATAATAATAATAATTTATTTATACCCCACCCATCGTGCTGGGCTTCCCCAGCCACTCTGGGAAGCTTCCAACAAAATATTAAAATACAGTAATGCATCAAACATTAAAAGCTTCCCTAAAGAGGGCTGCCTTCAGACGTCTTCTAAAAGTCTGGTAGTTGTTGTTCTCTTTGATATCTGGTGGGAGGGCATTCCACAGGGCGGGTGTCACTACTGAGAAGGCCCTCTGCCTGGTTCCCTGTAACTTACGGTATTTTTCACTCTATAAGATGCACCAGACCACAAGACGCACCTAGTTTTTGGAGGAGGAAAACAAGAAAAATAATATTCTGAATCCCAGAAGCCAGAACAGCAAGGGGGATCACTGCGCAGCGAAGCCAGCAATCCTTCTTGCTGTTCTGGCTTCTGGGATAGCTGTGCAGCCTGCATTTGCTCCATAAGACGCACACACATTTCCCCTTACTTTTTAGGAGGGAAAAAGTGAGTCTTATAGAGCAAAAAATACGGTAACTTCTCGCAATGAGGGAACCACCAGAAGGCCCTCGGAGCTGGACCTCAGTGTCCGGGCAGAATGATGGGGGTGGAGACGCTCCTTCAGGTATACTGGGCCGAGGCCGTTTAGGACTTTAAAGGTCAGCACCAACACTTTGAATTGTGCTTGGAAACGTACTGGGAGCCAATGTAGGTCTTTCAAGACTGGTGTTATGTGGTCTCGGCGGCTGCTCCCAGTCACCAGTCTAGCTGCTGTATTCTGGATTAGGTGTAGTTTCCAGGTCACCTTCAAAGGCTGCCCCACATAGAGCGCATTGCAGTAATCCAAGCAGGAGATAACCAGAGCATGCACCACTCTGGCGAGACAGTCTGCAGGCAGGGAGGTTCTCATCCTGTGTACCAGATGGAGCTGGTAAACAGCTGCCCTGAACACGGAATTGACCTGCGCCTCCATGGACAGCTGTGAGTCCAGCATGACTCCCAGGCTGCGCACCTGTGTAGACCATACTGAGCTACATTCCCAGCAGGGGAAATGGCTTGGATCCAAATTTAGTTCATCCTGAGTCCCATTGCATGTTCATTTTGTGTCTGAAACCCCATTGATCTGACTGAGAACGGAGTCTTATTATTATTTATTAAACTGGTTATTGACTTTCTCTTGCCCAGGGCAAACCAAAGCAATTTCGTAGACTTCATAGAATCGTAAAGTTGGAAGGGACCCTGACGGCCATCTAGTCCAACCCCTTGCAATGCAGGAATTGGCGGCAGTCCCATTAGGGGATTGAACCTGCAACCCTGGCGCTGTCAGCACCACGCTCAAACCAACGGAGCTCTCTAGGCTTGGTTAATTTACCCAAGTACAGCCAACAGAGAGAAAGCCATGGCTGATTTCTGCATGAGAAACAAGAGTGTTTTGGAGTGTTCATGATATGAACCCCCACATTGCAGGCTCAAGTTGTATATACTGTATTTTTCTGTGTATAAGACTAGGGGTTTTTTCCACCAGGAAATTAGGTTTAGAATTGGGGCTCGTCTTATACACAGGTAGTGCTGAGGGGGTGTTTCTTAATTTGGAGTCCCCCAAAATAGGCAGCGTCTTATGCATGGGGGCGTCTTATACATGGGAAAATACGGTGTATATATGTGTGTAAATAAACCACATAGCATGAAAACACCACAGTCTCTGCTGTGCCTCATTCCTGAAGGAAATACAAACTCATTTAAAAAATAATAATAAAAATTCTAATTTAAAAATAAATAAAATTAAGACCATACAAAGAGGTGACCCAATACTGCACCACACGGTTACAATATCACCAAATTGCCCAAATATTTAATCAGGACAAAGCAATAGGATTTGAAAAAGAAGAATCAAAATTACAAACAGTATTATTACAAAACTCGAAAAATAATGCATCCAAACTGTATAATTTATTATTAGAATGGGAGTTAAAGGATGAAGAAGTAAAAGAAGTTATGACTAAATGGGCATGCGATATAGGTTACACAATTCGGCTGGATCAATGGGAGAAATTATGGAGATGTGATTTTAAATTTACGGCATGTTACACAATCAGAGAAAATTTGATGAAAATGGTGCGCCAGTGGTACTTAACTCCAGGAAATGCAAACTCTGGGTAAGCGCCTGGAACCAACTGGAATCTCACACTGCTCAGAGATTAAAATAATAATAATAATAATGTACCCCACCCATCTGATGAAATCGGGGTGGCCTGCAACAATATTTGAATCCCACCATTTCTCCATGGAATAGACATGTGGACTGTGCCCCCAGTTCCGATGGTGGATCCTAAGCCCATTTAGCGCTGGAGGGGTGTCAAAACCAGTTGCCTTCTGTTCGGGCACAGAGAGCTCCATCTTTCCCGCAGAGCTTGTGTTAGTTTCCTCCTGTCCGCCGGGTCCCAGTTAACAAGATAATTGGATTCCGCAGAAGCTGCCACGTTCATCCTCAGAGAGCGAAAGTGACTCTCCCTTCTCAGCTTCCCGGCTGCCGGGCTCCGAATATTTGGGGCCTGCCAGAGGTGTGGGCAGCCGAGGCCAGACGTGACTCAGCCAGGCGGGCAGGGAGGCGTTGCGCTCTCGAGAAAGCTGCTCTCGTCCCCGTGGAGACATCCGTTTCCGAGAGCGACTGACTCAGACACTGGCAGCCTGGCACTCTGGAGCTGCGCTCGCAGCCGCCGGCGGGCAGCAAACCTCGTCTCTGCCTGCTGCCACAGAGGAACGGCTGCCCCGCCAAGCACCCTGCCCGGCTGACCTGGCTGTGAGGGGGTGGCAAAAGGGCATTTGGCATTTTGCTGCCTGGCACGGATGACGCAGCCTGCCTCCTTCGTGAACCGGCGGCAGTGGCGGCTGCCCTGTCTCTTCCACTCCGGCGGGTGCCCACCTGTGGCTTGTTGCTGCTGGCGGAGAGGCAGAGAGATGCGCTAGGAGGCCTTCTTTGGCTGGCGCCAAAAACGCAGGTGAGGAGCCGCGGCGGAACAGATCTTTGTTGGAAGTCCCAGGAGAGATGAAATGAAGCACTTCTTGGCCCTGTTAAGCTATGGGACTCCCTGCCACAGCAGGCAGGGACGGCCACCCGCTTTGAAACAGGATCGGACCAATTAGGACAGGGCTATTGAGAGCTCCTAGCCAGGATGACTCCACAGTTGGAAGCGGCAATGCCCCTGAATGCCAGGTGCTGGAAACCACAGGAGGAGGGGAGAGGGGTCTTGGGTTCAAGTCCTGCTTGCGGGTTTTCTTATTGGGGCATCTGTGAGAACAGGATGCTGGCCTAGATGGACCACACTAGCCTGATCCAGCAGCCTCTTCTTATGTTCTTATTAGTAGAGGGGAAGTGGATAGGGCTAGCTCCGTCGCTTCTGCTATACCAGGAGTGGGAAGAGAAGGCCCAGGCCATGACCTGCAATGACTCTGTTTGTCATGGTCTGGTTCATGGGCGACTGAACCATGAATCATGGGCTGGAGACGTAAGGACCGGAGGCAAGATGGCGGGGTGGGAGCAGAACGGGAGTCCAGAAGCCAGGAGTCAGGAAGCCCAGAGTCCGAGGGTCAGAGAACCAGGAGTCAAGAAGCTGAGGGTCCGAGGGTCAGGAAGCAAGGAGTCACAAAGTCAGGGGTCCGAGGATCAAGCAGTAAGGAGTCAAGGAGTCAAACGTAGCAAGGCAGGGAACGTGCTGCTGTGGCAACGAGCCAAAGGGAAGATGCTGACCTTATATCCCTTCCTGGCTCTTGCCACCAGGTGCTGTGAGTTACCAATCAGCCTCACCTGTGAGGCCGCGCCTTGCCTCTTCAGAACAAACTTAGGAAGGCCCCAGTCCTGCAAAGTCCTATTGGTCACAGGGCCCGGCTCCAGCACGCACGCCTGACACTGTTCTTCCTCCACGGCTGGAGTAATAGTAATAATAAAATAATAATTTATTATTTATACCCCCCCCCCCATCTGGCTGGGTTTCCCCAGCAACTCTGGGCGGCTTCCAACAAAATATTAAAATGCCATAATACATTAAACATTAAAAGCTTCCCTAAACAGGGCTGCCTTCAGATGTCTTCTAAAAGTCTGGTAGTTGTTTATCTCTTTGACATCTGGTGGGAGGGTGTTCCACAGGGCGGGTGCCACTATCGAGAAGGCCCTCTGCCTGGTTCCCTGTAATCTCACTTCTTGCAGGGAGGGAACCGCCAGAAGGTCCTCGGTGCTGGACCTCAGAGTCCGGGCTGAACGACGGGGGTGGAGATGCTCCTTCAGGTATACTGGACTGAGGCCGTTTAGGGCTTTAAAGGTAGTGCCAACACTTTGAATTGTGCTCAGAAATGTACTGGGAGCCAATGGAGGTCTCAATAGATTAGTTGCTGTTTCCGGGTCACCTTCAAAGGTAGCCCCACATAGAGCGCATTGCAGTAGTCCAAGCGGGAGATAACGAGAGCATGCACCACTCTGGCAAGACAGTCTGTGGGCAGGTAGGATCTCACCCTGCGTACCAGATGGAGCTAGTAAACAGCTGCCCTGGACACAGAATTGACCTGTGCCTCCATGGACAAAAATTTAAAACAAACAAACAATGAAGATCCCAGGGCAGTTCACAAGAGAACCTCTCTAGCCACTGCACAACACTGCCTCTCAGTTTGCGGAAGACTGTGCTGTTGAATAAAAGCAATTAAAAGCAACAGCAGCCTTTTCCTCTCCCTGCCGGGTAGCCTAACCTTGCTGAAGAGTTTTAGGATACAGGACGCAGGCTGGGATAAGGCCCTTTCCAGAAGGAGGAACTCCATGGGTTCAGCGCTTGCTCCCTCCCCACCCCACCAGCCCTTGGATCTGGGTCTGGCTCTCAGCATGCTGAAGGATGGAGCGGGCTTTGCAGCCATCCTCCCTCCTCTCTGCGTGAGGCGGTCCCCATGGCAACGGCCAATCAGGGAAACAGGATGCAGCCAGCTCACAGCCAGGCAGGCTGAACTGATGGGGTGGGGTGTGGGGAGCAGAAAGGAAAGCGGGAGGGAAGGAGGGGGGAAGGGCAGCCAGTCTTCCTCGCACAGGGCTGCAAGGAGGCATTGCAAAGAGGGGCAGTGCGGCATAGTGGCTAGCGAGCGCTGGACCAGGGCCTGGGAGGGACCAGGGTTCGAATGCCCACACGGCAGCAAAGGTCACCGTGGGTGACCTTGGGAGCCAGTCATTTCCTCTCTCAGCCTAGCCTACCTCACAGGGTTATTGTCAAGATGGAATGGATGTGGAGGAGAACCATCTCAAGCTCTTTGGAGGAACAGGCGGGGTTATAAATGTGATAAATAAATAAATTGCTGTGCCCGGATGCTTCTCGGAGGTGCAGGAAAACCTTCTGCACTTTCTGTCTGAAGGATCTGAGAAAATTTCTCTGATCCAAGGTGTTGGTTTTGTTCCTGGTTTGTGTATGTGATGGTGCAGGAACAGCAATCTTCTGGCACTCCCATTTGTATGCAAACACACCCCTTGTTTGCAGGGGGTCCCATGCCCCTCCCAATAATAATAATAATAATAATAATAATAATTTATTTCTACCACACCCAACTGGCTGGGTTTCCCCAGCCACTCTGGGCAGCTCTCAACAGAATATTAAAACCACAATAAAACATCAAACACTAAAAACTTCCCTGAACAGGGCGGCCTTCAGATGTCTTCTAAAAGTCAGGGAGTTGTTTATTTCCTTGACATCTGATGGGAGGGCGTTCCACAGGGCGGGTGCCACTACCGAGAAGGCCCTCTGTCTGGTTCCCTGTAACTTGGCTTCTCGCAGCGAGGGAACCACCAGAAAGCCCTCGGAGCTGGACCTCAGTGTCCAGGCAGAACGATGGGGGTGGAGACGCTCCTTCAGGTATACCAGGCCAAGGGAGCATTTAGGGCTTTAAAGGCCAGCACCAACACTTTGAATTGTGCTCAGAAACGTCCTGGAGGCCTCTCCCCCTCTTCTCAATCTGGCCCCCTCCCAAAGCTGCTTCTCTTTGCAAAATGGTCCCCTCCCAAAACTGCTTTTACGGATGTGACTGCTCTGTTACGTTCATTTATTGATTGATTTCTACTATCTACAGTGGTACCTCTGGTTCAGAACTTAATTCGTTCCGGAGGTCCGTTCTTAATCTGAAACTGTTCTTAACCTGAAGCACCACTTTAGCTAATGGGGCCTCCCACAGCCGCCGCCACGCGATTTCTGTTCTCATCCTGAAGCAAAGATCTTAACCCGAGGTACGATTTCTGGGTTAGCGGAGTCTGTAACCTGAAGCATCTGTAACCTGAGGTACCACTGTATTTATTAAATTTATACCCCGCCCTTCCTCCCATTCATCTAAACAATACCTTTAAAAGAAAGCAAAAAAACCCTAAAAACAATTTGTTTGTAATGTGTAGTTTGCCCCTGGCCACAAAGCTCATGGTGGGGGAGACCGTAGGTGCATGTTTCAGCCAGTCACGTAGCTCTTAGACAATCCTACCTCACAAGGTTGTGGTGAGAACACACCAAAAAAACCCCAGCGAGGCCAGCCCTGCATGGTCCTCCTAGATCAGGGGTCTGAAACCTTTAAGACAAAAAGCCACTTGGACCGAAGGAAAAAAAACTGGGAGCCACAAAACCATTGCGACATTTAAAACAGTGGGGAGTGTCGGGGCACACAATGCGCCTCCTCCCCTCGCTAGTATCCGCCCTGGAGCCGCGGCAAAGGTGTAAAAGAGCCACATGCGGCCGCGGAGCCGCGGGTTGCTGACCCCTGTCCTAGATGGAGGAAGAGATGGACATGAATGCAATACAGTGGTACCTTGGTTCTCAAACTTAATCCATTCCAGAAATCTGTTCCAAAACCAAAGCGTTCCAAAACCAAGGCAAGCTTTCCTTGGTTATGCAAAACGGATTAATCCGTTCCAGACTTTAAAAAACAACCCCTAAAACAGCAATTTAACATGAATTTTACTATCTAATGAGACCATTGATCCATAAAACGAAAGCAATAATCAATGTGCTGCACTATAAAATAATTAAGATGTAGATGATAAAAAGTAAAAATAATTTTTTTTCTTACCTGCACTGATGATAGTCGTTGTTTGGATGGTGGGCTTTTATCCATTTCCACAGTCACACAATCAATCAATCAATCAATCAGTAGCTGAACTGGGTTCCACACAGTCACAAAAACAAATTAACCGAAGAAGCCTCAAAAACAAAAACGCAAAATGAATAGCAAAAACAAAAGTGCCAAACTTAATCCGTTCCGGAAGTCCGTTTGACTTGAGAAATGTTTGAAAACCAAGGCGCAGCTTCTGATTGGTGCAGGCGCCTCGGAAGCAATAGCTGACAGCCACATCGGACATTCGACTTCCGAAAAACATTCCAAAACCGGAACACTTACTTCTGGGGTTTCGGCGTTTGGGAACCAAGGCGTTGGAGAACCAAGGTACCACTGTATAGAAACAGAGCAGTCCCTCCATCTTTCCAGAACCAACAGCATCCTGCCAAACTCGAAAGGGGCTCACGATCAGCTTACAGATGGGATGGGGGGTCTCCCCTCAGGGCACCCAAAAATGTCCCCAGTCTGCCCCTGTCAGTTGCTGAAGCCAACAAGTCATTTTGGAGAAGTGCCCAGCTGTTATCACAAGTGCCCTTAATGGAGAAGGATCCGTTAATAAACGCCAAGAGGACCCTCTTCTCCTGGAGCTATTCTGGGTGAGATTCCAGGGATGCATGACGGCAATTGTTTCAGGAAACCAGCATATTTTAAGCCGAGGTTAGATGCCTATCTGTCATGGATGCTTTAGCTGAGATTCTGCAGGGCGTTGGACCAGATGACCCAATTCTAGGGTTCCATGATTCAATGCTGAGTTCACATTCAAACTAAGCTATCATTACAGTGAAAGGTGGACTATAAAGAAGGCTGATCGCCGAAGAATGGATGCTTTTGAATTATGGTGCTGGAGGAGACTCTTGAGAGTCCCATGGACTGCAAGAAGATCCAACCTCTCCATTCTGAAGGAAATCAGCCCTGAGTGCTCACTGGAAGGACAGATCCTGAAGCTGAGGCTCCAAGACTTTGGCCACCTCATGAGAAGAGAAGACTCCCTGGAAAAGACCCTGATGTTGGGAAAGATGGAGGGCACAAGGAGAAGGGGACGACAGAGGACAAGATGGTTGGACAGTGTTCTCGAAGCTACCAACATGAGTTTAAGCCAACCTGCGGGAGGCAGTGGAAGACAGGAGTGCCTGGCATGCTCTGGTCCAGGGGGTCACAAAGAGTCGGACACGACTAAACGACTAAACAACAACAACAACATCATTACAGTACAGTGGATGCTCGAGTTGCAAACGTTTGCAACCCGCAGTGTTCGCAACCTGCAGCACCACATGTGCACACGCGCAAGTTGCGATTCAGCACTTCTGTGCATGCGCAAAGCGCAATTTAGCACTTCTGTGCATGCGCGACCGCTGAAACCCAGAAGTAACCCGTTCCGGTACTTCCGGGTTTCAGTGAGTCCGTAACCCAAAAAAACGCAACCTGAAGCATCTGTAACCCGTTGTATGACTGTACTCTCCTTACACCAATATGACTTGCTTTCCAAGTAGTCCTAAAGGTGAATTTGCTTCTCCAAAGGAGAGCTTGGCTGCTGGATCAGGCCAGTGGCCCATCTAGGTCACAGCATCTGGGGCTAGTGGACCGCAAGCTGAACAAGAGCCAACAGGGTGATGCAGCGGCAAAAAAGGCTAATGTTATTCTCGGCTGCATCAACAGAAGTCTAGTTCCCAGGTCAAGGAAAGCAATGTTGTTTAGTCGCTTAGTCGTGCCCGACTCTTCGTGACCCCCTGGACCAGAGCATGCCAGGCACTCCTGTCTTCCACTGCCTCCCGCAGGTTGGCTTAAACTCATGCTGGTAGCTTCGAGAACACTGTCCAACCATCTTGTCCTCTGTCATCCCCTTCTCCTTGTGCCCTCCATCTTTCCCAACATCAGGGTCTTTTCCAGGGCGTCTTCTCTTCTCCTGAGGTGGCCAAAGTCTTGGAGCCTCAGCTTCACGATCTGTCCTTCCAGTGAGCACTCAGGGCTGATTTCCTTCAGAATGGCTAGGCTGGATCTTCTTGCAGTCCATGGTACTCTCAAGAGTCTCCTCCAGCACCAGAATTCAAAAAGGGAAGCAATAGTATCACTCTATTCTGCCTTGGTCAGACCACATGTGGAGTCCTGTGTCCAGCCTGAGGTTTGAAAAACAATCAATAACCCTCTTTAAGAGAGCGAGGAAAATCCTCCAACGAGCCCCATGAAGATTCAGCATGTCCAATGGGCACAGGATCCTAGCTGGGTGCTGCTGGTAATGTTAGTGGAGACAGAAAACTGGGAAGAAGTGGGGATGGAATGGAGCAACCTGGGAGAGGTCATGGCTGGCTGGTTGAGCAGGGAGCACTCCAGGCTGCAAAATTTAGTTGCAGGTCCCATCTGTATAACACATTCTGTACCTGGTGGTGGAAGAATCCCATGACCTGCAGACCCGTCCCAATATTCAGTGCGGTACCCCATTTCCTCTTGAAGTCCTTCCTGTCCGTCTGGTTTCGACGGAACAGCCGGCCGGCCTCTTGGAACCGAGCGAGCCTGACGCGTTTGCTGTGCCCCACTCAGGTCCAATGCCCACATCCTGCCAACATTCATGCGGCTGCAGCCGGGGCCCAGGCATGGAGCGGGGGAAATGGTACGGGGTTCGTTCCTACCTGCACCTCTTCTATGAGGACTGCACCGGAGCGAATCTGGACGACGAACTGGATTTGCCCCCAAAATCTCCAGCCAGCAGCGGCTGGTCCTCCGTCCTCTGGAAGGTAAGGACTGCAACAAGTACGTACCTGCCTTTTCTTGTTGCTTTCAGGCCTTTCAGACTAAGCGCCTCTGAGCATGCGAAGAGTTCTTCCTTCTCCCCACCGCCAGCGTTTATTAAAGCAGCTTAAGAAAAACGGCCCCTTGAGCATGTGCAGAGTTTATTTGTTAGGGATATAGGAAGCTGCCTTAAATCGAGCCAGACTGCTGGTCAATCTAGCTCAGGAATGCCTACTCTGGCAGGCAGCAACCATCTAGAGCTTCCAGCCCAGGAGATTCCCTACCTGGGGATGCTGCCAGTGGGGTGGACCAGGGACCTTCTGCATGCAAATGGGAGGGGGAGTGTGGGGGCAAACCCAGGGCACCTGTGCAAGGGAACAGGCAGCCAGCGAGTATTATAGGAAGGGAGCAGCGATTGCTAAGGCCAGGCCAGGCAGATGCCCCGTCTCCACTGGCAGCAACCTCAGGTCAACGAGGACCAGGCAGCTTCTGGGATGACTCTGGCGCCACCTGCAGACATGTGCTGGAGCATCCTGGCGCTCCCAGAAGGAGCATGGGGTTCTGGAGGTCACGTCCTGCCACTCACTACAAGCTTCAAGCTCCAGGGTTTGCACCTCCTGGTGCCACCTTGGCTGGGTTCACCCCTGGGCGATTCGAGAGCTCCACCCAGCTGCTGCGCCCACTGGCTAGGAATCCTCTGCCACGCCGCACTGCTGCCCCAAGTCTGGGATTTGTGGTCCCTTCCTTGAATTGCAGGGATGGTCTTCGGGGTGCAGACTTCAATCTTTAAAAAGCTTAGGAAGGGGGCTAATGCAGCCTTGCCAACTGTGCGCCCCCTCAAATGCACTGGTTGGGGCTGATGGGAGCTTCAGTCCAAAATACCTGGGGAGAGCCAGGTTGGCAAAGGCTGAGCCACAACCAGCCCGAAAGCATTTTTTCCATTAATCTCAGGTGTGCACTGGGTGATCCTGGTATTGAAGTGTGTGGAGAAAGCACTTTGCATGCACTCAGAGGCACTTCTGGCATGCTCAGAGGCCAGTTCTAGGCATGTTAGGGTATTTTGTTTTGACTTTCCTTGTGTTTTTGAGGAGGAGGAGGCGGTGGCGAATAATAATAATAATAATAATAACAAAATACCTCTTGCTAGAGGGATGCAGGTGGAGTTGTGGGTTAAACCACAGAGCCTAGGGCTTGCCAATCAGAAGGTCGGCGGTTCGAATCCCCATGATGGGGTGAGCTCCCATTGCTCGGTGCCTGCTCCTGCCAACCTAGCAGTTCGAAAGCACGTCAAAGTGCAAATAGATAAATAGGTACCGCTCCGGCAGGAAGGTAAACGGCGTTTCCGTGTGCTGCTCTGGTTCGCCAGAAACGGCTTAGTCCTGCTGGCCACATGACCCGGAAGCTGTACGCCAGCTCCCTTGGCCAATAAAGTGAGATGAGCGCCGCAACCCCAGAGTCAGCCACAACTGGACCTAATGGTTAGGGGTCCCTTTACCTTTTACCTCTTGCTAATCTGGACTGTAACCCTATTTAAATGGATCTCTTCCCCGAAAGTTAGCATGCACAGGATCGTTGTTTTATGGGGAAATCTCCAAAGGTTGCTTCCCTTCTTACCGTCTCCGCGGCGTCATGCCAAGTGCTGTTGACTTAATTGAACCACATTGCAGTGCACTGAAGGGCACAGCCATCTGCCTCGATTTGCCCAGACGCAAGAACGCACAGCCAAAACTTCTCGTTCCACAACGAAAACCGCTCTGTGTGTGTACACAGTGATAATAATATAATAATAATAATTTATTATTTATACCCCGCCCATCTGGCTGGGTTTCCCCAGCCACTCTGGGCGGCTCTCAACAGAACACTGAAATAAAATAACCAATAAACATTAAAAGCTTCCCTAAACAGGGCTGCCTTCAGATGTCTTCTAAAAGTCTGGTAGTTGTTTATCTCTTTGACATCTGGTGGGAGGGTGTTCCACAGGGCGGGTGCCACCACCGAGAAGGCCCTCTGTCTGGTTCCCTGTAACCTTACTTCTCACAATGAGGGAACCGCCAGAAGGCCCTCGGAGATGGACCTCAATGTCTGGGCAGAATGATGGGGGTGGAGATGCTCCTTCAGGTCTACTGGGCCGAGGCCGTTTAGGGCTTTCAAGGTCAGCACCAACACTTTGAATTGTGCTCGGAAACGTACTGGGAGCCAATGCAGGTCTTTCAAGACCGGTGTTATATGGTCTTGGCAGCCGCTCCCAGTCACCAGTCTAGCTGCCGCATTCTCATCCTGTTCTTTTCCACTCCCAGGTGACCCTCTCGGCTGGGACCCTGCTGCTGCTCATTGGCGCCTCGGCTTTGGCCACGGGGTACCTCCTGCCCCCCAAGTTGGAAGGGATCGGCGAGGGAGAGTTCGTGGTGCTCGACCAGCAGGCGGTGGAATACAACCACGCCTTGGGGATCTGCCAGGCCGTGGGCGCGGTTCTATGCGCCCTGGCCGGCGCCCTGCTGACCGCCTGCCTTCTGTCCTCAGGGCTGCGCAATTTGAACGGAGGCGGCAAGTGGGGGCAGGATGGCGAAGACCAGGAGGAGCAGCTGTCCCCCATCTTGCGGGAGGGCTCCCCTGGGCAGCAACGGGGCGCCATTGTCACAGCAGCTCCTGTGCCCTTCAGAGACCACTGGGTGCAGAGTATTCAGCCTAAGAGAGAGCCGTAAACCCAGACTTTTCAAGAGGGGAAGAAGCCATGCGCCGAGGCCCACACAGGATATATTTCCAAGCTGTCGCTTCCCTCGTCGAGCTGTTTGGTGCATCATGCTTTGAATGTCATGTTTCGAACCAGTGGCTCCCAGATTTTTTCAGGGCACCGTCCCCTTGGTTCTATAAATTCACCCCCAGGGCCCCCGACTATTCTGAAACGTCTCCCTTAATAAGGGGACGTGGGTGGCGCTGTGGGTTAAACCACAGAGCCTAGGACTTGCCGATCAGAAGGTCGGCGGTTCGAATCCCCACGATGGGGTGAGCTCCCGTTGCGCAGTCCCTGCTCCTGCCAACCTAGCAGTTCGAAAGCACGTCAAAGTGCAGGTAGATAAATAGGTACCGCTCCGGTGGGAAGGTCAACGGCGTTTCCGTGCGCTGCTCTGGTTCGCCAGAAGCGGCTTAGTCATGCTGGCCACATGACCCGGAAGCTGTACGCCAGCTCCCTCGGCCAATAAAGCGAGATGAGCGCCGCAACCCCAGAGTCAGCCACGACTGGACCTAATGGTCAGGGGTCCCTTTACCTTTACCTCCCTTAATAAAGTTTGAAATAACCCGAAATTCAGTCTTGGTTCTTCACCCCTCAGTTTTGCTTCAATTCAGGAAACCCTTCTGGGGCCGAGAAGAGTAAGTTTGCCAACTCTTGAAGGGACAGAAGCTCTGCGCCGGCAACAGCTGCATGACAGGCCGCATTCAACAGGCTATCTCTGCACTGCTACGCCTGAAGAATCCGCACCGGTTGGATTGCTGCGGTCTGCACAGTTCTCAAGGTCACAGAGAGTTTTCAGACAAGAAGGTGCCACCGGCGATTCTCGTGCGCTCGTCTCTTTAAATGGAAGGGACGCAGAGCCACCAGGCTTGGATGACAGCATTTCCCCTTTCTGGTTCAATAAAGATCAAAATAAAGGAAAATGCTTGGATGGAATCGGTTTCATTGGCTGAGCGGCAGCAAGTGTTGCATGACTGGTCTTTGTCAGGGTTCAGTTAATCCACAATCTGATTTTATGAAATAATCCTGCTCCCCAAAGATGGGGGTAGGGCATTTTATTATTATTATTATTATTATTATTATTATTATTATTATTATTATTATTTATACCCTAGCCACTCTGGGCAGCTTCCAACAAACATAAAAATAATAGTAACAATCTGATCCAATATAAAAAGTAAGAATACCTTTAAAAGAAACAGCTTATTTCAAATAAGGCAATACTTTATTCAATATTCCATTAGAATCCAATAGTAAATAGTAAAATTAAACATCAGCAAATAATAATTAAACCTTTTACACTCAACAATTACACTAAATAATTACTAAGCTATAATCAATTAAAAAAAACAGCAAATCACAATGCATAAAATACCACAAAACATACAAAACCACGTAAAGGGATCAAACCGAGAAACAAGAACACACAACTTATAAAATTACTTTTTAAAAATATATATAAGGTAAGTTGAGAGTTACCTGCATCCATCGAGAAGAAAGCTCTGCACATGTTCAGAGGAACCCTGTCCTTAGGCTCATACAACACACACAGCAGGGGCTAGATTCAGGTAGGTAGCCATGTTGGTCTGACGCAGTTGAAATAAAAATAAATAAAATTAGAAAATTGTCCAGTAGCACCTTGGAGACCAACTAAGTTTGTTCTGGGTATGAGAATGCGTGCACACTTCCTCAGATACAGTGAAACAGAAGTCACCAGACCCTTATATATAGTGAGAGGGTGGGGTATTTCTCAGAAGGGTAGTAGGAGATGGGCGATTGGCTCAATGGGTACGGAAAACCTGTTGACGACTGTTAACGACTGCAATTAGTCCTACACCTAGTCCTACAATTAGTCCTACAACTTCTTTTTTTAAAAAAATTTAATTTTTAAAATTTATTTTGATAGCAGAAGCTGATTCCTTTACGAAAGAAAAGCACCGAGTGCAGAGTCCTAGGCCATTTTAAAAAGCAAGACATTACAAATGAAATTAATATATGCAATTAAAACAAAACAAAACACCCAACTTCGCTGTTGAGGAAGGGGGAAGCCAAAGGGATTCTGCACATGTTCAAAGGCACTTTCTGCTGGACAAGCTTTTTAAAAACACAAAAGATGGCAGTCCTCTTCCCTTCCTTTCAGGTCTGTTGTAGGGCCGCTTCCAGCACTTGTCCGCTAGGGGGAGCTCTAAACCAAATCCTCAAGGAGGGACAAATCAGCCGCCTAAACTAATCGCACAAGCCAGATCTGCAACAAAATGATGCAGTGTGGCGTACCTTGAACAGGATACTCCATTCCATTCCTAGTCTCCTCCTGATTTTTTGTGTCCTCCCCTCCACCGCAATGGCCAGCCAGCCAGCATTTCATACTCAGTCCTCACCGGGCTGTTTTGAACCCAGCCTTTTTGTAAACCTGTCGTTAAACCTCTCTCTTGTGTGTGGGTAGTTCTGTTTTGGCTACATAAGAGACTGACATATAGGCAATTTAGTTTGCTGCTAGTGATTTATAATGAGCGATTTACTAGAAATCATAGAATCATCAAGTTGGGTCATCTAGTTCAACCCCCTGCAATGCAGGAATCTCTAATAATAATAGTAATAGTAATAATAATAATAATTTATTACCCTGCCCATCTGACCGGGTTTCCATGACAGATGGCCATCTAATCTCTGCTTCCAAATCTCCAAGGAAGGAGAGTCCACAAATTCCCATGCAAGACCCTTCCACTGTTGAACAGGTCTTACTCTTGGAAAGTTCTTCCGGATGTTTAGTTCGAATCTCCTTTCTTGTAACTTGAAGCCATGGGCTCGAGTCCTACCCTCCGGAGGAGGAGGAAACCAGCTTGGTCCCTCTTCCCTGTGACAGCCCTTGAGATATTTGAAGATGGCTATCATATCTCCTCGGGACGTGGGTGGCGCTGTGGGTTAAACCACAGAGCCTATAACTTGCCGATCAGAGGGTTGGCGGTTCGAATCCCAGTCACGGGGTGAGCTCCCGTTGCTCGGTCCCTGCTCCTGCCAACCTAGCAGTTTGAAAGCTCGTCAAAGTGCAAGTAGATAAATAGGTACCACTCTGGCGGGAAGGTAAACGGCATTTCTGTGCGCTGCTCTGGTTCGCCAGAAGCGGCTTAGTCATGCTGGCCACATGACCCGGAAGCTGTACACCGGCTCCCTTGGCCAATAAAGCGAGATGAGCGTTGCAACCCCAGAGTCGGCCACGACTGGACCTAATGGTCAGAGGTCCCTTTACCTTAAGTGTGTTGCCCAGCCCTAGGTGTTAGTAGGGATGTGGGTTAGTAGGGATGTGGGAAAAACAGCTTGGTCCCTCTTCCCTGCAACAGCCCTTGAGATATTTGAAGATGGCTATCATATCTCCTTGGGATGTGGGTGGCGCTGTGGTCTAAACCACTGAGCCTCTTGGGCTTGCCGATCAGAAGGTCGGTGGTTCGAATCCCCGCGACGGGGTGAGCTCCCGTTGCTCGGTCCCTGCTCCTGCCAACTTAGCAGTTCGAAAGCACATCAAAGTTCAAGTAGATAAATAGGTACCGCTCCGGCAGGAAGGTAAACGGCATTTCCGTGCGCTGCTCTAGTTCGCCAGAAGCGGCTTAGTCATGCTGGCCACATGACCCAGAAGCTGTACGCTGGCTCCCATGGTGGGAGTGAGTTCCGCAGTTTAACAATGCAACCATAGAAGCAACTCAGCAATGTGGCGGTTCAAGGAAACAAACCAGAGCCCTGTCTTCAGGCTTTGCTGTATGGAATGACTAGGTTAAAGAGAGCGGAATAGGAAATGCGGTAGGGAGAAGAAGTACCGACAAAAGAAGTATGGCAGACAAAATTAATGGACTACACAGAATTGGATAAAATGACAGGAAGGATTCAAAACCTGCGGGACCAGAGATTCACAGAAGATTGGAAGAAATATACAAATTATTTGAAGAGCAACTGTAATCAACAAATCACGCTAGTAGGACTACAAGAGGATTTGCAAGGAGGAATATACGAAATATTGCAAAGAAGAGAAAGAAGAGAGGTATTAGTTATGAGATTTAAAAGTAATAGTGAAAATAAGAAATGCAAATTAATTGAATAGATTGGAAAATTTTCAGATGTGATTGATGGAAGTCAAAAAAACTGTATAAGATGTAAAAGTAAAGGTAAAGGTAAAGGGACCCCTGACCATTAGGTCTAGTCGTGGCCAACTCTGGGGTTGCAGCGCTCATCTTGCTTTATTGGCCGAGGGAGCCGGCGTACAGCTTCCGGGTCGTGTGGCCAGCATGACTAAGCCGCTTCTGGCGAACCAGAGCAGTGCACGGAAATGCCATTTACCTTCCTGCCAGAGCGGTACCTATTTATCTACTTTCACTTTGACGTACTTTCGAACTGCTAGGTTGGCAGGAGCAGAGACTGAGCAACGGGAGCTCACCCCGTTCAAACTGCCGACCTTCTGATTGGCAAGTCCTAGGCTCTGTGGTTTAACCCACAGTGCCACCCACATCCCAAGATGTAAAAGTACGTCTAACTATTGCTGAAAATGATATGTTGAAAAACTAATAAAAAATTTATATATATAAAAAAGGAAATGTGGTTGGGGCTCCTACAGTGGGTGGGGTGGGGGGCACAAAACAGGAAACTGCTAAGCCTGTGCTCAGCAGATCCCAGCAGATCCCAAAGGCTCAGCGTCATGTGTCTGCAAGCCGACAATAACTATCTCTTTAATTCAGAGACTGCTCCCTGCCCCTCATCTGACTCTTTCCAGGCAAATATAGACATTGAACTCACCAGCTGAGTGTTTCATTTCCACATCCCTTATTATGAAGGGGGTTAACGGCCACCGCCAATCCTGCCTGCCCATGGTGGCGGTGACATTCTGCCCATCGCCCCACGACAAGAGGGGGGAGAGCTGTGAGTCACGGCGTAATTGCAGGGTTGAAACACCTCCAGAGGAAGGAAGTTCTCAGCACTGAAAGCTGG